AGCAACAGGGTGGTGGATCTTATGGCCCACATGGCCTCCAAGGAGTAAGAACCCCCAGACCACCAGCCCCAGCCAGAGCACGAGAGGAAGAGAAAGGCCCTTAGCTGCTGGGGTGCTCCTGCCTACTCAGTCCCCCACCTCACTGAGAATCTCCCCTCAACACAGTTTCCACCCAGACTCCCTAAAGAACAGGAGGGGCCTAGGGAGCCCCACCTTGTCATGTAACATCAATAAAGTTCCCTGAATTCCGCTAACTGTTTCATCTTATTCTGGGTTAAGGGGGAAGGAAGCCAGGTGGGGGCAGAGGGGAACCAAGGAGCATCTCCTGGCCAGGGTTAAAAGTACAGAGGCATCTAGAAAGCCTTACTTTGAAGCATGCCCTTGTGTCCTACCTACCCCTGTGAAACCTCTGGGTGCTATCAGAAGTCAGTGCTGCCACTTTAAAAGGCTGTCTTCTCACTATGCTCAGCCCCAGGTTATAGGGAATGCCTGTGCCAGGCTTACTGGTACAGGATGTCAGGGTTGTGGAGCAGGGTACAGTGAAGTCTTCAAGATCTATTCTGTGCCCCAGTACTTTAAGTGAGGATGTGATAATACCCAACTCCTAAAGTCTTCAGGATTAAATTAGGTAAATTATGTAAGCACCTACAGGAAAATTATATAAGCATGCCCAGAAAAGCAAGCACTACATGATTTTTAAAATTGGCAAAATAAGGGTAATGCCCACCTATCATAGTTTTGGAGAAGATAAAATTGAGATGTGTGAGGTGTTAGGGTGAATGACATTTCCGGACCAGGCTTCAGACTGGGCTCTGACTGTGGCCAATTCACAACCTACCGTGCTTGTTTAGCACCTGCACATTTGTAAGATGGAGACGCTGAAAACAATGTACATACACCTCAGAGTTAAAACTATGCAGTTAATGTCAGAAAGTGCTTGAAACAGTGACACAAAAGTGCTCAGTGAATACTCCTCAGTTTCATTATTAGAGTCCATCCCAGGTCAGCCGCACAGACTCGAGGTATTCTGAACCATGTCTCCCCAGTTCCTCCAAGCCCTTCCAAGTAAGGGTCGACTTCTTACTCAGCCTGTTGGTCTCGGCGTGGCAGACACAGCAGAGCACATCTTCAGCTGATGGCCAAGAAACCGAGACCCTAAGCATACACGTGCACACCCACAGAACTGTCACCTCTTCTGTCACTCAGCAGTGACTGGGAGACAAGAGTTTCCACCTCCCTTTAAGGTGCTGCGCCCCATCCCGGGCACTAAGGCCTCTTTAAAGCATGGCACCTCCACTAGGGGAAGGTCACACACCATACAGTTGGCAGGTGGACAGCCCTGAGCACGGGGAAGAGTGGGGGAGGACAGAGCAGCTGGTCCAGTCCTGTTTTCCCTCGGCCTTCTCCACTGTGGAACCTCAGCCGAACTTTCCTCATTCCAATGCCTGGGCCAGTTAGCACCAGTGCAGAATTGAGGACTATGTGCTGCTCTGGACCACAGGGACAAAGGGAAGGTCCCATATTCCTGACACATGGAGATGGTGAGGGGCTGCAACTGCTCTGGCAGCATTTAAAGATGGGGAAGTAGCAGACACCCACTCGTGAAGGCAGAAGAGCCCCAACTGTGGTGGGGATTGCCCAGGAAGGACAAGGCTGCACCTAGCTCCAGATACCCCAGAATCCTGGAGAGGCCAGCCCAAGGGAGGAAGCCCAAGGGATGAGTGCCCCGTCCCCAAGGGCCAGGCTTGGTAAGGTTGCACAGTGATGTTCCCTCTGTGAACCCCCTGCCCTCTGCCTCAGTGAGTTCCCAGCAGCATGGGGCCTCAGGGGAAGCAAGGTGGAGGTAGGTCCCTATCTCATGGAGCTATCAGATGAGACATCGCGATCGGAGTCCTCAGTTTCGCTTGGCGCTGGCGGTGGGTCGCTAAACGGGACCGCAGTGAAAGCAGGAGACTTTCTAGAAAAAAACACCAGTTGTCACTTTGGGGTAGGCAGGAACACTGATAAGGCTGGTGCCCCTTTTCCTGTGACCTTATCATCTGGAAGGCAAGTGAACATCTTAGGCAAGGCCAGGGGGAAACGGGGGAGAGTGGATGCAGGGAAAGAGGGAGAGAATTCTATCATGCCCTACCCTGATGGAGAAAATGGTTCTTGTCTTGGTCTTAGAAGCTCTTGAGAGGCTCAGAGGTCAGAAATATCTGAAGTCACAGCATAAGAGATGCTGTGTATACTGACTCTTGGGTCCAGACTTTATCTATAGTACTTTTGTGATTTTTAAAAATTAACATTTTGACTGGACACAGTAGCTTACGCCTGTAATCCTAACATTCTGGGAAGCCGAGGTAGACAGACTGCTTGAACTCAGGAGTCCGAGACCAGCCTGAGCAAGAGTGAGACCCCAACTCTATTCAAAACAGAAAAATTAGCTGGCTCAAAGGAGAAAGGCACCAGCCCCGTATACCAGAGATAGTGGGTTCCAACCCAGTCCCAGCCCAAAAAAAAAAAAAAAAAAAGAGAGAGAAAAAAGAAAAATTAGCCAAGTGTTGTGTTGGGCTCCTATAGTCCCAGCTACTCAGGAGGCTGAGGCAGGAGGATCACTTAAACCCAGGAGTTTGGGGTTGCTATGAGCTAGGCTGATGCCATGGCACTCTAGCCTGGGGCAACAAAGAAATAGAGTGTCTATCTCAAAGAAAAAAAATTTTTTTCTACTTTTTTGTTGAGGTGTAATACAAATTATGGCCCCACCTTTAGATAAAAATCTACCCCAGCAGTCCTTCTGATCCTTGCTTGGTTTTTTTGGTTTGTCTTTTTTTTCTTTTTTGTTTTCAAGACATTGTCTTAGTTGCCCTAGGTAGAGTGCCACCAACTTCAAATTCTTGGGCTCAAGCAATCCTCTTGCCTCAGCCTCCAAAATAGCTGGGACTATAGGCATGTGACACCATACCTAGCTAATTCTATTTTTTTGTAGAGGCAGGGTCTCACCCTTGCTCAAGCTGGTCTCAAACTCCTGAACTCAAGCTATCCTTCAACTCTGCCTGTTGTTTGTTTTTTTTTGAGACAGTCTCTTTCTGTCGCCCTGCGTAGAGTGCCATGGCTCACAACAACCTCAACCTTCTGGGTTAGAATGCTTCTCTTGCCTAAGCTTCCTAAGTACCTAGGACTACCAGTGCCCTCCACAACGCCCAGCTAGTTTTTTTATTTTTAGTAGAGATGGGGTCTTGCTCTTGCTCAGGCTGGTCTCTAACTCCTCAGCTAAAGCAATCCACCCACCTCAAACTCCCAGAGTGCTAGGATTATACACATGAGCTACTGCACCCAGCCTCTTGGTCGAGTGCCATGGCGTAGCTCATGACAACCTCAAATTCTTGGGCTTGACCGATTCTCTTTCTTCAGCCTTCCAAGTAGCTGGGACATTACAGGTGCCCACCACAACACCCAGCTATTTTTAGAAACAAGGTCTGTCTCTGGCTCAGGCTGGTCTCGAACCTGTGAGCTCAGGCAATCCACCCACCTCAACCTCCCAGAGTGCTAGTCCCGAGCCACTACACTTGGCCCTCTTTGCCAGTTTTTAAGTTGCCTCTAACCAAGGAAACCACCAGAGTTGGTGGCATTGGGAGATTTCAGCCATGGATGGTGGACAAAAGTGTCACTCAACTGCCATGGGACAAAAAGCTGTTGTTCTGGGCCAACTATACCAGGTGACTCCCATGTGACCAAGTCACTGTCTGAGGGTCTGCAGGGCTTCCCAGCTGTGGGCTGTGGCCCACCCTCCTTCCCTGCACCACCTCAGGGAAGGCCCCTACCGGTCTCCGGACTGGGTGATGAGCCGGCGGCAGGTCTCCATCTGCACGTCCAGGCCACGTTTCATGCTGCACATCTCCATGTACTCATGCAGGTGCCGGTTCATGTCATTCTTGGCCGTGGCCAACTCCAGCTGTGGCAGTGCAGGCAAGGACACTGGGGTTAGCAGGGCCGAGGCAGGAAGGCCACCAGCACCTCTGCTTCCCCTGCCAGGAGACTACCACGCCAAGAGCACCAGCTGGGCCAGGGCCCAGGCAGCCATGGTTGAAGACTACGATTTAAAAATAAATCAGGTCAAGGAAGAAGGGACTAAATATACTATCGTTTCCTCTGGTTCTCCTGGAATCATTGCAAAAGTATGTGCCACACATGGCATTCTTTTAACAGACTGATAAGAGCAAAGAGGAAGGAATGTAAATGTGGGCAGGATGGAGCAGATCACAGCTCACAGAGTGCACCTGTGTTCCAGCTCTCCCTTCATTCCCTGTGCAATGCTGGTCCCAGCCTGTCTCCTCACTGCAGCGTGAGCCCGTCAGGATTGGCACTAGGTCTCATTCATCCCCGCAAGCCCAGCATCTCAACGGGAATTAATTAAGGTGCTCAATGAAGCACCTACAGACTCGCATGTGCAGGAGAAAACCTCGCTCACTCCTGAAGGGGGTTCAATTCTTTTAACTTTCCTGTATTACTTTATTTCCTCACTTAGAAGCCATTATCAGATACTAAAAGACTCCCACCCTGAACGTCCTATCAATTGAGTGTCCAACTTCAGAAATGTCACACATTTCCGTGAACACTGTGGGGCTCAGAGGCAGGCAGAGTCTCCTCCCACCTGTTCTGCAGCCCAGGCTGTGGCAGAGCACAGGCAGCACAAGACCTGGGCCAGGGACAATTTGCTGCCATTTTGGGTACAAAAGGCAGTGGCCACAAGGAGAGGCAGAATAAATCTTCGTGACACCTAAGAGCAAAGAGAAAGGGGATAGGAACTTGGAGAACGAAAGAAATAAGTCACAGGGCCAGACAAAAGACATGGTTGAGACAGTGACATCTGGGGTGAGAGAGTGGCCAGGTGAAGCCCAGTGGGTATGGCAAGCTTGGTTCCACAGCTGGGGTTCCCACTGGGTTCCTATAGCAGCAAAAGGAGCAGGAACATGCTGGTTGTCCTGTCGACTGAGAAAATATGATGCCACCAGCTCTTGTTCAGATCTGTAGCCACCTATATATGAATTTCTCCACCTTGGGAAAGCTTAAAGTGGGAGGGTGGGTCAGGAGACAGAAGGAAACGAACCAAATACATTCTATCAAAAGTCAAGGTTAGTGCTGCCACTAATACTCTCTGCATATTTCCATGTCCCCTAAATCATGCCTTCGAAACTGGAGTGAGGTAAGGAGATAAGTGTACAAGTCAGGAGAGGTCCTCAACACTGCCCTTGAAAACCTCAGGCTCAGGTATGAGCAGAGGGCTAGGCAAGGCTGGGAGGAGACGGGGCGAGGTGGGATGGGCAGCAGCACTCCTTCCCTGTACCATTTTGGGCCTGGTTTCTGCCTCCATCTCAGTGACGCCAAGAGACCGAGGTCACAAAGATACACAGATACCTCGATGCTCTACATGGAGCACGAGGAGTACCACTGCAACCAAGTCAGTCCCCAGCCACTTCCCCTGTTGTCCTTCTACCAGGACAGGAGAGAAGTCAGCTGCTAAGCAGCTTAAAAGGCATGTTCCCATTTAGGATATTCTTTCCTTTCTTACCAGGTCATGTTGTATACTAGGTACTCTGGGCCAGGGGAAGAGCTGAGCTATCTTGCTGCCTAGATAGCTGTTCTGAGGCCCCTACTTAGTTGAAGGTCCAGAGGAAACACCAAACCTCAAATCCACCATCCAAAAGAGGTAGACAAGAAACAGGAAAAAAAGAGGGATGGTGGAGGGAGGGAAGGGTGAGACAGGTGAACAGGAGAGTGGAGATCAGTTCTCCCTAGCTGTATCTTTTGCCAGTACCATAAATCTGACAGTACCTTTAACATTTAACATTAGGGTGGTACCTGTGGCTCAGTGAGTAGGGTGCCGGCCCCATATACTGAGGGTGGCGGGTTCAAACCCGGCCCCGGCCAAACTGCAACCAAAAAATAGCCAGGCCTTATGGTGGGCACCTGTAGTCCCAGCTACTCGGGAGGCTGAGGCAAGAGAATCACCTAAGCCCAAGAACGGGAGGTTGCGCTGAGCTGTGTGACACCATGGCACTCTACTGAGGGCGACAAAGTGAGACTCTGTCTCTACCAAAAAAAAAAAAAAAACTTGACATCAGTCTGCCCAGGCAAAAAGAAAAAAAAAAAAGGCCAGGCACAGTGGCTCACATGGCTCACACCTGTAATCCTAGCACTGTGGGAGGCCAAAGTGGGTGGATTGCTTGAGCTCATGAGTTGGAAACTAGCCTGAGCAAGAGTGAGACCCACATCTCTACTAAAAATGAAAAACTGGGTGGTGCCTGTGACTCAGTGGGTAGGGCGCCGGCCCCATATACCGAGGGTGGCGGGTTCAAACTTGGCCCTGGCCAAACTGCAACAAAAAAATAGCTGGATGTTGTGGCAGGCGCCTATAGTCCTTGCTACTCAGGAGGCTGAGGCAAGAAACTTGCCTAAGCCCAGGAGTTAGAGGTTGCTGTGAGCTCTGTGACATCACAGCACTCTACCCAGGGTGACAAAGTGAGACTCTGTCTCTACAAAATAAATAAATAAATAAATAATGAAAAACTGGGGCAAGAGGATCACGTGAGCCCAAGAGTTTGAGGTTGCTGTGAGTTGTGACACCATGGCACTCTATCAAGGGTGACAAAGTAAGATTGTCTCAAAAAAAAAAAAATAAAAGGCTCGGTGCCTGTAACTCAGTGCTTAGGGCACCAGCCATATACACTTGGGCTGGCAGGTTCAAACCCAGCCTGGGCCTGCTAAACCACAATGACAACTACAACAACAAAAAATAGATGGGCGTTGTGGTAGGCACCTGTAATCCCAGCTACTTGGGAGGCTGAGGCAAGAGAATCAATTAAGCCCAAGAGTTTGAGGTTGCTGTGAGCTATGACACCACAGCACTCTACCGAGGGTGACATAGCAAAACTGTGTCAAAGAAAAAACAGATTTTGCTAAGCAGGGCCATTTGCTATGTGTTGGGAGAATGAATATATAGGAAAGTAATTTCTCAACTGCATTTCAAAATGTAGTCAGTATATGGCCAGGCAAGGTGGCTCCTATTGTGATACGCGCACTCTAGGAGGCCAAGGAGAGTGGACTGCTTGAGTTCGGGAGTTCAAGCCCAGCCTGAGCAAGAACAAGACCCCCATCTCTAAAAATAGAAAAATTGAGGCAAGAGGATCTCTTGAGCCCAAGAGTTTCAGGCTGCTGTGAGCTGTGATAATGCCATGGCACTCTACCCAAGGCAAGAGAGTCAGACTCTGTCTCAAAAAATAATAAATGTAGCCAGTGTGAGAGCAGTAAGAGTAGAGTAGCCCCTATATTACAGTGGTTTCGGGATTAGCAATTTCAGTTACCCACAGTCAAATAGGGTTGAAAAATATGAAATGAGACATTTCAGAAAGAAATAATTTATAAGTTCTAAATCACATGTTCTGCGCAGGATGGTATTTCGTGCCACCCTACTTCCATCCTGCCTGGGATGTGAATTCTCCCTTTGTCCAGTGGATCCACACTGTCCTCTTTGCCCACCTGTTGGTCAATTTAGTGCTCAGGTCTACTGTCATCCTATCTCAACATTTTACTTCATAATGGCCCCCAAACACAAGAATAGTGATGCCGGCAATTCACCTATGACAAAGAGAAGCTGGTAAGTGCCTCCTTTAAGAAAGTAAAAATGTAGGGGGGCCTGGTGGCTCATGCTTATAATCCCAGAACTCTGGGAGGCCAAGGCAGGTAGATTACCTGACCTTAGGAGTTAGAGACCAGACTGAGTAAGAGTAAGATCCCATATCTAAAAATAGCTTGGCATTGTGGCAGGTGCCTGTAGTTCCAGGTACTTGGGAAACTGAGGCAAGAGGATCACTTGAGCCCAAGAGCTTGAGGTTGCTGTGAGCTATGACTGACACCATGGCACTCTGCTGAAGGCAACAAAGTAAAACTCTGTCTCAAAAAAAGTATAAAGGTGAAAGTTCTTGACTTAGTAAGAAAAAAAAAAATCCCATGATGAGGTTGCTAAGATCTACTATAGTGAGATGAAATCTCCTATCCATGAAATTGTGAAGAAGGGAAAAAGAAGCCTGTAGTTGTTTTGCTATCATACCACAGACCGCAAAAGTTACAGCCATAGGGCTGGGTGAGGTGGCTTACGCCTCCTAGTACTCTGAGAGGCAGAGGTGGGGAGACTGCCTGTGCTTAGGAATTCGAGACCAGCCTGAGCAAGAGCAAGACCCCCGTAATCTAAAAATAGCCGGGCATTGTGGCAGGCACCTATAGTCCCAGCTACTTGGGAGGCTGAGGCAAGAGAATTGCTCAAACCCAAGAGTTTGAGGTTGTCCAACCTCAAACTTTTAGACTCGAGATGCCATAGTACTCTATTGAGGGCAACAAAGTGAGATTCTGTCTCAAAAAAAGTTATAGCCACAGTGTGTGACAGTGCTTAGGTAAGATGAAAAAGGCATCACATTTGTGGGCAAAAGACATGAGTAGAAATGTTTTCTGACTGATGGCCCCCCTGCCCCCGGGAATCTTGGGACATACTCCCCTCAGATAAGGGAGAGCTCCTTTATGAATATGGGCTTAAGGGAGGCAAGTCAAAGAGCCTCCTTGCCTCAACCTCAAATCACAGTCCAGAGTGCTAACCCTCACACTATGGAACTTCACCCTCAAGTCAGAAATTGGGAAGGGACCATCTTACACAGGGCAGGGCAGCTCATAAAGAGTCATGTTCAACCCTCCCCCAACACCAGCCTCCACTCTGTGGTTCTACAAATCCTTCCTACAGCCCCTAAAGGCCTCGAGTTTACGTTAAAGCACCAGCTCCACCTGTCATTTCTAGAAGGTTCCTCAAGGCTCAGGAATAAGCATGGAGATTTCTACATTACCTCAAAGGCTAAGCTGAAGAAGAGAAGCAGGAAAGTTTAAGTTCACCTCTGACTGCTATGACACTGACAGTATTACTAATAACAGTGACCACTGAGGTTTACTTATTACGAGCCAGGCACTGCCCTGAGCTCTGTTATGTCCATTATTTCATTTGATCTTGTTTGTTTTCTTGGGTTTTTTTTTTTTTGTTTTTTGTTTTTTTTTTTGAGACGGAGTCTCACTTTGTCACACTTAGTAGAGTGCCACAACATTATAGCTCACAGCAACCTCAAACTTTTGGGTTCAAGTGATTCTCTTGCCTCAGCCTCCTGAGTAGGTGGGACTACAGGAGTCCAACACAACACCCAGCTATTTTTATTTATTTATTTATTTTGAGACAGAGCCTCAAGCTGTCCCCCTGGGTAGAGTGCCGTGGCATCACAGCTCATAGCAACCTCCAACTCCTGGGCTCAAGCGAGTCTCCTGCCTCAGCCTCCCAAGTAGCTTGGACCATAGGCAGCCGCCACAATGCCTGGTTATTTTTGGTTGCAGCCATCGTTGTTGTCTGGCAGGCCCAGGCTGGATTCGAACCTGCCACCCTAGGTGTATGTGGCTGGCGCCTTAGCTAATTGAGCCACAGGAGCTGAGCCACCCAGCTATTTTTAGAAATGGGGTCTCACTGTTACTCAGGCAATCCACCAGGCCTGCCTCATGCTAGTGTTTCCTTGTTTTAAGAGACAGCTTGTCACTCTGTTGCCTAGGCTGCAGTGCAGTGGTGTGATTACAGCTCACTGTAGCCTCTAACTTCTGGGTTCAAGCAAATCTCCTGTCTTAGCCTCCTGAGTAGCTGAGAGGCCGAGGTGGGTAGATTGCCTGAGCTCAGGAGTTCAAGACCAGCCTGAGCTACAGCAAGACTTCGTCTCTAAAAATAGCTGGGCATTGTAGCAGGTGCCTCTAGTCCCAGCTACTTGGGAGGCTGAGGCAAGAGAATCACTTAAGCCCAAAAGTTTGAGGTTGCTGTGAGCTATGGGTGACAAAGTAAGACTGTTTCAAAAAAAAAAAAAAAAAGAGATAACCCAATGGCTGGGATTACGGGCATGAGCCACTGTGGCTGTATGGGGCCGGCGCCCTACTCCTTTGAGCCACAGGCACTGCCCCCCAATTTGATCTTTTAAACAACCCTTTGGGAGAGGTATTATTAAACTCCTCATTTTACAAATAAAGAAACAGGCTCACAGAGATCAACTGTTACAATGTAAGAGGGGTTGTAAGTGATAGAGCTGAGATCTGAACCCATCATCTGCCTCTGGAGTCTGAGGCTTTAAGGGCCCACCAGAGATAGGTACTACTACCAAGAGGTCACACCTCCCTTGCAAAAGAAAGGGAAAGGCCCTGGCATAAGAGTCCCAGAGGAACAAAGCTGCTGCACCCGCAGCTCCACTTATTACCCACTGGGTAACTGTGCCCCTTGCCTTCAACTCACACCCTTACCTCTATCTGGTCGATGGTTTCCTGATATTCTTTCTCCCGGGTTTTGAACAGGGACTCAGTATCTTTAATAACCTTCTCCAAACTGTCTTCCTGCTGCTGAGTAGATAGGGAAGCAAGGGGGAGGCCGACCGGGGGAAGAGGGGATGGGGTGTATTCCACAGGGCCAAGGCAGGGGAGAGAAAGAGAAAATCAGGTTAAAGGGAACTAGAGAAAGAACAGCTGAAGGATGAAGGCAGAGGGGAGAAGCAGGTGAAGGATGACGGCCACATGGGGAGAACAGAGCGAGGTGCTGGGGAGACAGGGCATCAGGCTGTGAGGCAGAACTGTGGGCCCTGCAGCGGGAGGGAGGTTACCTCTCCCTGGGCCTCTGCAGCTGCCATGGCATAGCCTGAGAAATCCTCCCACAGCAGCAGGGTCTCCTCAGTCTCCTCCCAAGTCAGGCTGTCACAGTCGTCCTCAAAATCATACTCCCTCCTAGAGACAGGGAGCCTGTGTGTCAAGGAGGGCGGGGGGGCCCTCCAGGTGGAGGGGCTGTTGGGGCTCCGGCCTCTTGTGGGAAGGGCAGTGAGGGGCTGCGCGGGGGCAGCCACGGGACTCACAGCTGGCTGAGCATGCGCTGCATCTCCTCGTTGATGCTGAGGGCTGTGCTCTCCTCCTCATCCCCATCGGGCTGGCGGGGCCCATCACTCTCCGACAGGGAGGTGTCCTCCTCCACGGCAGCCTTGCGCTCCCGCTTCCGCCCCCCCATGGATGGGACCTTAATGGGAGACAAGTGCAGAGACTACAGAGACGAGGCCGGGTGCGTGAGGAGAAGGGCAGGGGCGGGGCAGGGCAGGGGCCGGGCAGACAGGGGGAGGGGAGAAGCATGAACCAGGGACGGGCAGGGCGGACAGAGAGAAAAGTCACAGTTACAACGACAGGAACAGAAACAAGCAGAGTCACGCTGAGGCACAGATACACACAGAGGGGCCAGGGCTGCAGGCTTAGAAGGCAGTAAAGGAAGAAATAGAGAAAAGAGAGTGTAAGACAAGGGAGGAATGGCTTGTTAGGACCTCGGTCAGATGTGCATAAAGGCTAGAGAGGAATTTCTTTTCTAAAGAAAAATCTTCCTAGTGAAATGACTCAACTAAAAAGAAAGTTTTAGGCTGCACGGAGGGTGAGGATACAGTGTTTATAAAGGAGAACTTGAATCACATCCAGATCTGGAAAACCAGGGAGAGAAGAGAGAGAATGAACTGAAATAGAGAGCAAGAGATAGAAAAGGGGGGACGAGAAGGAAAAGAGAAAGAAGAGATCGGTGCTGAAAAGCCCAGCAGGTCAAAACTGACAGCCAGAGTGCCCAGGTGGTTTAGAAACTGGGACTGGGACATTAAAAAGCTCGCGTGAGATCAAACTAACCAGCTTCTTCTGTGGAGAAAGCAAGAGAGAAGATGAAAGCAAGAGAGAGGAGAGGAAACAGGAGAGAGAGGGAGGGAGAGATGGTGTTAGACACAGCTTCCAAAACTTCTCTTCTGAGGCTATTCCTGGCCCCCCAGCCTAGTCCCACCAAGGGCCCCAGGAGCCAGGAAAAGGACCCCACGCTGACAGTGGGCCTGTGCTATTTCAGCTGAGATGGAAGCTTCTTCAACTGTTCCTCCTCCGCCCCCCACTGAGAGCTGAGGGCAGCCCTGTCCTCACCTGGAACATCTGGATCATATCCTCACAGTTGCGCTGCTGGGCCAGGTCACATAGTTTGGCGGTGATATCGATGCGGCGGCAGATGTCCATATCTACCTTCATGGCCTTTTCCTGGATCTTGGTGTCCAGCTCTGACAGATTCTGTCCAAGGAACATGGGGAACAGTGAGGCAATGCCCAGGACTCCAGAAAAGGACTAATGAAGCCTGGCACAATCCCGTCATATCACAGGCACCTCCTCTATGAAGTCTTTGTGCCTGAGCAGAATGTGCCTCTCCCTGGATGGTACCCCAACAGCACTTTGCTCAAACACTGTACATCGGGCTGCTTGGGCCACTGGTTCCCTGGCCCTAGAAAGTGTGGCTCAGTGCCTAGGACATGCAGGAGCTCCCTCAAACCATAAGCAGTCCCTACCCTCCTGGAACTTATGTTCCCAGAAAGAAAGACAGAGTATTAGGAATTATGAGTGTCGTTTACAGCTAACAATGACTTGGATAACACTACATGCCAGGCACTGTCCTTGGCAATATAGTATAGGCAGTATATCTCCATGTGCAATATAGTCTTCAAAGTAATTCTGCAAAGTAACTGTTTTTTTTTTTGGTTTTTTTGCTTTTTTGAGACAGAGTTTTACTCTGTTCTGTTGCCCAGCCTGGAGTACCATGACATCAGCCTAGTTCATAGCAACCTAAAACTCCTGGGCTCAAGTGATCCTCCTGCCTCAGCCTCCCAAGTAGCTAGGATCCTCCTGCCTCGGCCTCCAAATACCAGCCACAAGACCCGGTTAATTTTTCTATTTTTAGGGGCCGAGAGCATTTGCTCATACCTGTAACCCTAACACTCTAGGAGGACTAGGTGGGTGGACTGCTTGAGCTCATGAGTTCAAGACCAGCCTAAGCAACAGCGAGACCTATCTCTACTAAAAATAGAAAAACTAGCCAAGTATTGTGTAGTTCTAGCTACTCAAGAGCTGAAGCAAGAGGAGCGCTTGAGCCCAAGAGTTTGAGGTTGGCATGAGCTATGATGACATCAGGGCACTCTACCCAAAACAAAAGAGTGAGACTCTGCCTCAAAAAAATAAATAAAATAAAGTAAAATAAAATAAATAAAATTTTCCTATTTTTAGTAGAGGTAGGGTCTTGCTTTTGCTCAGGCTGGTCTCAAACTCCTGAGCTCAATGGATCTCCTGCCTCGCCTCTCAGAGTACTGGGATTACAGATGTGAGTCTTTATATGCCTTCCTTTTCCCCACTCCGCAGTTGAGGCAACACAGGAAGACGAGGGTTCGGAGGTAGGGGAGTCACCCGAGACCATGGTCTGCGCAAGCTGCAGAGCTGCAGCTGGGCTCCAGAAGCTGTGCTCTTACTCAATGCCCAACAAACCCCTCGTGATGACAGAGGCTGCAAACCTCTGTGATGCAACACTGAGACTTTCGTTCCCTCCCTTTCTCTGGAATTAGAAGTAACAGGGAAAAGAGAACGATAGCAGAAAAGGAGTGCAGTGGACAGGGCATCAATAGGCCAGAACTAGCAGGGCCTGCTCGTCCTACCTCAGGGGGCTACTGTGCACAGGGAGTGTGGTGGGGAAGGCTGTGGGCCACACTCACGTTGCTCATGAGCCCCTTGAAGACCACCAGTTCTGCCTTCAACTGCTCCACCTTCATCGCCAGCTCCTCTTGACAGGCATCAGCCTCTTGGGCTTCCTATGGTCAAGAGAAAACCCTGACGTTAATGGCACTGCCGATGTCGGAAGAAAGTTTAAAGATGACAGAAGAGACAGGGAGATGGTACCAGGGCCGTGGGACAAAGTGGGGGACACTGAGAGGAACACAGGGAGCAAGTGGGCGGCCACCCTCACCTCCTGGAGCTCATTTACACGCTCTTGCAGCTGTATCCGCACTGTGTATTCCTCTTCCCACCTAACAGACATGGGGAAGGGTAGAGAGAACGTGGGAACAAAGCCCTTCCCTGCCCCCATGACCCCCTGCCCCCTCTCTAGCTCAGGCCTCAGCCCCTAGGTCTGGTTCCCTAGATGGGGAGGAGCAGTGCACAGGCATGTCTGGCGGGCAGCCGAGGGCCAGCTGCAGCTGTTGGCAGCACCATACTTCCTGGCCAGCCGAGTTCACCAGCTGCCTTCCCGGAACCTCCGGGCCATGCACCAGAAACTGTGCAAGAGCAACTGCCTGCTCTGGTCCTTCACAGTGCCCAGCCCTGCTCAACCAGCTGTCTGGCTGGCCTCACTGCCCACCTCCTGCCCCCACCAGACCACCAGGTTCACCCGGCCCAGTCTCCCACCTTCAGTTGCACAGATCCGGTCTCCCGCCTCCTGCCCGCACCAGAACAGAGCTCGTCTAGCCTGCTGCCCTGCCTCTTGTGGTACCATTTAACCCTGTAAAAGCATCTGCAGGACACATACCGCATCAGCAGAGTTGGTCAAGAGCCTGGTAGGAGATACTTGAAGTCCTTCTCCTACAAGCTCCAGAAACTTTCCACCCAGAGCCCCTCTAAATGAGCCATAGAGAGGTAACAGGGGTGGCCCTGAGGCCAAAAGTCCCCCCAGAAGCACTAAAGCAATGGACGCCCAGAACCTAGGGTTACTAAACACCCAAACCCAGAGGGAAAGGGGACATAGGGCATGCAAAGGGGCCTCATGAGTGTGGCAGTTGAGAACCAGAAGCAGTACTTCCCAGGATCCAGAATTTAGAGGTGAAGATCACAGTGGTCTATAAGACACTCTTGGCCACAGGACAGGGTCCTAGGGCATGTATCCTAGGGCTAGTTTTGTCAGCATATATCCTAGGGCTAGTTTTGTCACACCCCATTGACTACAATGAGTGGTGCACATTCTATGCCACCCCAGAGATGGAAGAGGGGTGGGGGCCCCCATTGTTCAGGATGTGGCCCTAGTGTCTCAGAGCCCATATGTTGGTTGCAATAGCAGCACTTCTCAGGCCCTATTCATGTAAGCTCATTCTTTCTTGCCACATTCTAGAAAGGCTTCTTTTAGTCTGAGAAAGGAGGAGAACTGCACCAAGAGAGAAATTTTAATATAAGAAAGGTGGTTAGGAAGTGGCAACGAAGAAAGCAAGAAAAATTAAAATGAGAGAAAGATTAGCTCCTAGCCACAAGTAAGTCCTTTCCTCCCTGGGCTTCCTCCATCTCCCTTCCTATCTCACTCTCTCCAGCCCAGTCTCCTTGCTCTCCTATGCTCCCTGCCCACAGCCGCACTGCAGCAGTCCTAATAATAACTCCTCACATCACCCTGGCCACCCTCCCTGTGTGCAGTGGGGGAGGAGGCAGCCACTCTGGCCACCACCCTGCCAGCTCCCCACAGCCCGGAGCCTTTCTGCCTCCCCACTTCCCCACCCTCCCTGCCAAGCCACATATGCCCTTTTCCTTTCCACTTGGGCGTTCTCAGTCACTGTCCGAGATAGTGAGGGTCCTAGGAGCATCAGTTTGTGTGTTTTCTTAAATAAGATCCTTATCTTTTCTGGGCCTTGGTTTCTTTACCTACAGCATGAAGGCACAGGATGTGGTACCCTCGTGCCCCTGGAGTACATGAGTCCCCAGAGGGGGAGGGCAAGACTGACTACAGCACAGTAATCTTAGGCCAGATGCATCAGGGAAGTCAGGAAATACCATTTGACAGTGAACTCAACACACTCAGGTGGAAACTTAAGGAAGGCAGTTAGCAAAAGATTAAGATTAATGAAACCCTACCAGATAAAAAATATGAAAATGAATCATCTGGAAGCTCATTACAATTCTACCTGCTCATTACAATTCTGCCAGACTTTCACATAAATAGGTTTATTTTGGCCTCCACTCCAATCTGGTCTCACAAGGTTCCCTTAATGTGGGCCGAATTGGAACAATTTTCATGTATTCTGCATTGACAAAAAAATCTCCCTTCCAAAGAAACTGCATCCTTGAGTTGAAGAGGGAAATCAGAGACCATTTCTGTATTGGAAAAACTGAGGCTCAGGAAAAAGTCCCACAAGACAGAGGATCTGAATTTAGAACCCAGAAGGCCTCAACTACTTCCCAGTTTAGTGCTCAAGCCATCTCTATGCCTTCCAAACTAAAGACAAGTTACAGTGGTGCTATAAAAAGAGCAGGAGGGCATCTCATGGATGGAAGAAGAGGAACTGCCAGAGTCACGTACCATACAAGTCTAGCTACTGGCCCTCTATACAGCAACATTTGTGCTGCACAGTGATGAGCTAATCAATCCCCAAGGAATAACTCTTTGCTGCCCTGGACAGCTGGACCAAGGACAAACACTGTTTCAGTTAAAAAAAAAAAAAAAAAAAGAAAAGAAAAAGAAAAAGAAAACATCACTGAGAACAGCAATTGTTCCTGTGGTTGTGGATGTGTTCCAAAACTGTCCCTGTTCCACTGCTGACTGCATTAACTCCTGCAGGGCAAAGCAAGCTGGTTCTGGGTGACATCTGCATGATGATTTTAGAACAAGTGAAACCACCAAGGACACATAATATGAACCACGACTAAGGAAGCCAGCAGGCGGACAGGACTCAAACTGAGAAAACCTATTCATCTGTGATCTGGTGGACTCAAGCAGGTTATAGAATGCTGAAGGTTGTCCCCAAACCCAGCAGTAATCTAGAATATTCCACCAATCCTAACCCACTACTGAACAGACACAAATCCCTACTAGGCGGGGCTGCAAAGATAGTTCCCAGGCCTGCTCATAAGGGGTCATAATAGCTGGGCTGAAACTGGAGGCCCCCAAACGAAAGGCTCCTTCTCACTATCGCCCCTGCCCGCTCAACTATGGCATCTGTCATAGTCCGCAAGGCACTGCCTCTGCCCATGCTCTTGTCCTATCTGCCTCGTTACCAATCATCTTAGGAATCCACTTGATGTACAACATCTCATCCCCTCCCCAGGCCCCTTGGGTCCAGGTTCCTCACAGAAAGCCAAATCTTCATTTGCAGAACACCGCGGGCCGCCTCATGCCACTTACAGCCACAGGGTGTGTCTGTATGCCCAACTTTTCCCTACTTGGTCCCTTTGCTGCCTCTGTTCATGTTTCCTTCCCCTTCAGCTCTTTACTATTTCCCTACCCGCCTTATACCAACAACCTGGCCCTGCCCTGTGCCCTTCCACTAGGGAATTCTCTTTGCTCTTTCTTTTTCGATTTTTTTACCTACTCCAAGCAATACCTTGAAATCTCATCATATAGAATCAGACCAGGCACCTGGTTTTCATTGATATTCCTTTGGGAAACCCTGAGCGGTGGCAGGAATATCCATCACAGGATGCAGCCCCTTCTCCCTCACCACCCCCTTCCAACTTCACTTAGTTTCCCTAAAAATTTAAGCCAAACCCTTAGTCTCCTACTTTTGATCAGTGTGTGAAGCTTTTATACCAAAACTTCCCCAAGAGCTAAGACTGTAGGGGCACAGTGTACCCCAGGTGCATACCTTTCAGTCCTGAGTCTCTTTCAGGCCTCACAAAACCCCACAGTTAACACAGTTGTCCAAACCCTGCAGCCTAGACTGTGAGTCAGAGACAAGCCAGAAGAGAAGTATGAATCCCCCAGTGTTTTCAGTGTTTTGCTCCTAGTATCGCTCCTGTCACAAGTTGGATTTCTGCATTCCCTGTATCCAATTCCTTCCAAACTCCTCACTACACAGCACGAACTTACTCTTACTGAATTCTCCCCTGGATTTCTCAGAATCCACACCGACTGCCGGCTCTACACACGAACAGAGTCCTGTCCCCCACCTAACCAGTCCCTACCTCCGCTTGTATTCGTCCCGCTCCCGCTTCACTTTGGCCAGCACGTTGTAGAGAGCACGGATCTCGGGGGTGATGGTGTCGATCTGGACGCCGACCCCGTCGGGGTGCACCCACGATAAGCCAGGCCCTTGCACCAGAGTGGGCTCCAGTCCCGGCCCTAGCCGGCGTGCGTGCGAGAAGGACCAGATGGTGCCAGGCATGAAGCGGGCCGACGAGGAGTAGGCAGTAGAAGTGGAGGTAGAAGCGGAGGCGGAGGTGGACGGCGAGTGGCAGGCCGCAGAGGCCGCGAGGGGTCCGGCCGGCGAGCGTGCGGGCGAGCCCAGTACACGAGCCGACGGGGTGCAGACGGCGGCCGGCCGGGCGCCCAAGGGCAGCCCCAGGGGCCGGATGGGGCTGACGAAGCCGGTCTGCACGGCCTGGTCGCGGCGAGCCAGGCCCCGCCGGCCCTGCTTACCCTCCTCCAGCGCCTGCTGCAGCTGTTTCTCCAGCAGCCGGTTCCGGCGCTCCAGCTCGTGCACCTTAGCCAGGAAGCAGCGGAACCGGAGGTTCAGGGTCTTGAGCACGTTGATGTTGGAGCCCAGGTCGTTGCGGAGTGCCATGGCGGCAGGCGGGGCCGAGCCCGGCCCCGGCGGCGAGTAGGCAGCGGGACCGGCGGGGACGAGCGGGGCCGAGGGTAGGTCCCCTCCTCCAGCGAAATGGTCGCCTCCCAAGGAGTCCCCCAGTGGGGCGGCCAGGCCCTGCTGCTCCTGCTGCAGAAGGAAGAGATTGGGGCCAAATAACGGATTCATGGCTGCGCCTTCTGCTGGGAGATGAAAACCGGTGTAGGAGCAGGGATGAGGACAACCTAGCAGAGCCAATGAGGCGCAGGCGGGCCACGGCCGGCCAATCAAACGGCTTCACAAATGGGCAGGGGTAAGAGGCGGGGCGGGCCAGAGGAAGCCAATTATAAGCTCCGGTGGAGGCTGAGTCCCGGACCTTTCCGGGTGAAGCTGGTCGAAGGGAGCCCTCCCCTTGGGAGACTGCCTGGAATCCAGCCAAGGTTGGGGTAGAACTCAGGACCTTCAGCATCCATGGGTTCTGGTAGCAGGAAGCCAATCTTCTCTACACCCTTCCTCCCCCCAGAGTCCAAACACCCTAGCTCTGACTCCATGGGTATCCTCTCCTGGGGAAACCAAAGAATCAGGAGCCAGAAAACTTGATTTATCAATAGTATCCAACCACTCCTCCCTTTTCAGAGGATGCCAGTCCCACCTTCCCACCGCTGCCCTTTAAGCAGCAAAGTATCCAGGTCCCTCAAAAAACACTCAGTAGCCAGAGGTTGTAAAACATATTATTACATTTCATGTGTATGCACAGTGGGGAAGCCATCCTCACAGAGGTAAGAGTTCCAACCCAGGGACAATAGCAATAAGCCACCTTAGTCTAGTTTTCAACTATCCATCTGAGATTGCAATGACTGGCTGTTGTCCTTGGATTGAGATTTCCTCCTTTTTGCTGGTGGGGGTCTGTTGGAACCCAGGGGAGACACCATGGAAATCTGAGGTTCTTTGGGGGTGCCATTCTGTTTATGGAAGGCAGCCTTCTTGAAAGGCTGTTCTGACAACTGCTGCTTTACTCTCTTAGGCCCTTTGGCTTTCCCAAGGGGCTGATGATGGTCCTTAGGTTTGGAGGTGGCCTGGGTCTTGGACAGGGATAGCACAGTAGACATTTCTGTGTCCATGCTCTTGAGAGGGGCATTCTGCTTCAGAAATGCACCTTTCTTGGAGGACTGCAATTGAGGTGATTGTTGCCTTATCTTCACAGTCACCTTTGGTTCCCTGATCACTTCAGCTTTTTCAGCTGGCTGACTGGTACCCCGGAACTTAGAGGAAGCTTGGCCCTTTGTGACAGCAGGTACAGTAGACAATTCTGAGTCTGCCCCTTTGGAGATGCTATTCAGCTTCTTGAAGGCCTTCTGGGGATGCTGCTGTTTCTGCAACTGCTGCTTTGCCTTTGCAGACCCTTTAGCCTTCTTCACTGGCTGGTGGTTCTCATTGTTGGGGGTGACCTGACCCTTCAAATCAGGCAAGTCTAGGTTTGTAGTACCCGCTGTTTCAGAATTTCCTAGGGTTAAAATCAAACAGATGGTTTGAGGAGATGGACTTTATCACCAATCACACTAGTGGAAGAGATAATATAGGTTATTAGACTATGAGAATTGCCATCTCGTGGCCAAGAGTTCCACATAATTAGGACAGTACCTAAAAGCAGATTACCTAGATTCCTATTACTTAATATCACCTGCCCTTTACTCAATCCTATTTAAACCGTGCACAAAGAGATCGCTGCTTCTCCTTGGGCCAAAACCTTTTTACAGGAAGCTATGCACCCTTGAGGACAGTAGGTAACAAGACACTCTAAAGAGGTCTCCTGAGCAAATGTGAAGCACTGGGCTTTAATTTTTCCCTGCCTCCCCCCTCCCTGTGGATGTTGATGAAATGCAGAAAAATTAGAAGATATAGCCACAACAACCTAATAAGACAT